AATGAGTCATGGGTGTTGCTGTCACATGAGTGGCCCCCGTTCTTTCTTTTTCTTTTATTCGAAAGATAACAACTTGTATTTCTCGCTCACTTGTCAAACGAGCGCGGTGCAATCTTGTTCTATCGTGTGAGAATGAGTCAAGTGCGACAAACGGAAAACTAAAGGAGCAACCGGCTCGACGAAATCTTGTGGTTGCGTTGTTTTGTTCGAGAGTTTTGAAGACCTAACATGATCAATGTTTTGAGTCAATCATCTTCTTCCAGATAAAACAATGTTTATTTTATCTGTTCATCCTCGTTTACTTCTCATCGCCAGTTTATTCGTAAGTTTATAAAATTCGAATCAAATTTTTCAATAACAATATTTCAGGCTTTTGCCCATGGGGCAGGCACGAAGTGATCCATCGCTTGCCGATAGCTTTCAATCTACAATCAATCCAGATATTCTTCACAAAAATTGTACATTCGGTGAAGTGTGCCTCGGTGCTATCACTTCGACAGTCGTCCATTATTATTCCGTCGAATACGCGTTCGATCCAACGATGGTGAGATTTCTTTCGCACAAAATCTCTCATTGACTTTGTTTTCGTCCAGGCTATTCGAGTGGTAACCAGCATGGATTACACTCCGGAACAAGATGCCCCAATTTTGATTGTCACTCGACAAGCGCGTGGCGCCGCCTCCTGGACCCTGCCATTCACGTTTCCCAACGGGTAAGTGTCGTTTCACAGCTCGGATCATTCATGCCCTTGTTTCGATGGATTAGAATGATCTATTCGACAGCAGCGCGGATTCTTTGTTTGCAAAACGAAGTGAATTGCACACGACCGCATAACAGTACCATGTTCATCGAAGTTTCAACTTCGAATACCGAATTGATCAGTTATTCACTTCAATTGGAGAATATCACCGAGTTTCAAATCCAGTAAGCGATTGTCGACCATGAACGAGCGAGTGTCGATCTTTTAATGTAGGACGGGTGTCAGTCGGCAATTTTCCGTCTCGTCAGCCATGCCCGTCTTCTACAAGTATACATTCCCGCCTGGTATTGAAAATGTTTTTATCGATGTTCGATCCAATGATCAATTGTGTACTGTTGTATCTGTTCAATCATTCGATTGTCCGGTTTATGATGTCAGTGAAATCGGTGTCCGACAAGGACACTGTCAAACGATGGCTTTGATCGCTTCTTTCAATGTCTACGTTCGTATTTATTCTCGTTTAGTCTCTTCTTTTCATTTCTCAGTCTATTGACACTCGACGATGGGATTCGAAAGCGACGACGAGTTGATTTGGCTGCTTTTTGATCGGTGTATCCTAGTCGATTGACTTGATTGTGTGAAAATAAAAAAACTAAAGAAATAAACTCGACATGTCATTGTGGATTTATTTCTAGAGAGAAAAAAATCAAACCCCAAAATTTCTACTCGGTATAATCGCCGACGAAGGGCACCGATAGCGCTTGTTCGATCGAAAGCATGCCTTGTCCGTCGATATCCATGTCGCGTAGCATGCCATCGATTTCTTCGTCGGTTAATTTTTCACCTCGAGTACTGAGAAAATATTGTAATTCTTGCTCCGAAACGAATCCATTACGTTCATAATCGAAACAACGTAAACTATCGTGTACTTCACGTTCCGATCGTTTCTTTATGCCGGTACACAATTCTTGAATAGTTTTCAAATCGAATAATTGATGCGTATATGTTGTACCCATTTTCGTATCGATAATATGTTTGAGTTCAACATTCGATGGACTGTAGCCCGCTGCACGAATAACCGTCGCGGTATCTTTGAAACTTAGAGGTCGATTTTTTATTAATGAACAACAATCTTTTTTTTCTTCTTTTTTATAATAGGCATATTGTATGATTTTATACGCTTTACATTCTCCATTTCTTGCTTTATATCTCTCTATAGTGTGCATAGAAAGAAAAAAACATCAAGTGAAGTATAGTACAGAAAGGAATATATACATACATATTCATTCTGTTATACAATAGTTCAATAGTCTTTTTTTCAGGCATATTGAATAATTCTGTTCTCAATTTTCCCTCCAATCCAGTTGCCAATCCAGTTGCAAAATGTGAATAAATTCACCGATGCGACTTTTGACAGCTTCCCTTACATATATCGCTCTA